GATAGGACAACAATCCTTCACCTAAGAATGAGAAAATGTGAGAAAATCCTGCTAAATTCTTAAAGGTAAAGCATCTATGAGAAACAAGTGAATATCGCTTGGCTTTTATCTCTCTTCCCTCTTTCCTGGCTCTATGAGAACTTTCACCCAGAGAAACATCATTCCATTAGGCATTCACGCTCGTGGACGCGGCCTTTCTGCTTTCTGGAGCTGGAGGATGTGAACACTGGTTTGCTTCACTCACTTTCCAATGCATGTATTAAACTCCCAAATGTCAGAGATAGCCACTGTCTTTTATATCTGTTTTAGCTCGGTTTCAGGACACTGAGCAAGGAGATTTTAATCTCAGGCCTTATGCTCTGACTATAGTTACTGAAGTAATGGGAGTTTTTCCAACAGAACGAGTCCCTAAGAATGGGAGAGGACTTCACTATGCTGCAAGCCTCATTAACTCACCATAGTGAGAGAGATTTATATATGGAAAGACAACATAACACCATCTATCTAAACATTATATAATGTAATATTAAGTTCTATGGCACAAAATTTGTGACTCCAAATCATGGAAGTATTCAATTTGGATAACAGTCAGCAAAAAAGGCAATCAAGACAAGTTAAATAATATTTAACATTTATATATGTAAAGTAAATGCTTCAAACAGTGTAGAATCTGAAACAAACCATAAAAGTGTAACAACATTCTTTCTCTGATAAAGTAGAAACGTCCTGCTTTCTCATTTTGAAGGCCATTTCCTATTAATGAACTTTCTCTGTATCTCCAGTGTGGACAAATCTCACATTATTTCCTGAATAATTACTTGCTGGAGTTCCAGCAAGAGATAACACGGGACAAAGGAAGTGAAATTTATGCCGTTTGAAATTAAACTGTTTGCTTAAACTCTTTGTCTGAACCGCGCAAACTATTAATGAAATGAAGGCAGGCGGCACTGAACTCCACTGAATCCATTACTGCAGCTTCAGCTGCTGTTAATGCCACTGCTGAATATTTCTAATTAGAGACAGAGAAAAGATACTGCTCATCTTGTCTAAGGGACTTAGAAGTGTGATTTAATGGAGGTCAGATATATCAGAGACAATAATAGCTTTATTTGCAACTGCTGTCAATCTTGCTTTTCTGTATTTCCCTGTTTCCCTCTGACACTTCTTTCTGTGTCTCTTGCTCTCATTCACGCTCGGTTGAGCTCAGCGCTGAAGAAATGAGGGGGCCAGACGCTTTGGTTTTGGATCAGTGGTGTTTGATCCCTCTCCTCTACGCTGGGACGCTGTCTAACCCCACACTGATTGACATTTTGTAGTTGTACGGTGACCTGTGAGATGTAGGAGTGGATTCACCATCACTCTCTCTCTGTCTCACAAACCTTGTGTCATGGAATGTGCTAAACAGAGTACTCACGAAGACGAAATAACAAGAAAAATAGTCTTTAATCCAAATAACGCAATACAGAAATACAGAGAAACAGGCTAACAATGCTTCCAAACACAACGTTCAGACAGGACAATGAACTCAGGAAACATGGGACTATAAATACGAAACCAAATGAAGAATAATAGGCTACTTAATAGACAACAGGTGAACTGAATACAATAATCAAACGCATGCACTGGAAAACTAGGTCAAGCAAGGCACTGAAGACAAAAATCAAACAATGCATAGAACATACAGTACATGTGACACCTTGACACATTTTGATTTAAAAAATACATACTCAGATAGGGCTGAGCAATACAGATGAAGTGTAAACACTGTGGCTCTATGGTGTTATCAGACATTGCTCTTGTTTGTTTGAGCATCCAGACACAGCATGCAACACTGACTCAACAAATGATGTAAGTTTGGTGCGGGACTATCTGCTTGGCTGACCAATGGAAGACTGGGGGAGTGTTTGGGAAAACTGTTTGAAAACTACAATTTTTGAGATGTGTTCAAAATATTTGAGAGCTTTCCTTAATACCTCATGGAGCCTGTAAATTGTATGAAGAAATTTCTAGTCAATAAGTTAATTGTTGAACATTTATTTAATTTAGTTATTTTTTGTTTAAACAATTAAAAATATAAAAAAACTGTTTAAAAATTAGTGTTTGTACTGTTCATTTTATATGAATTTTACTACACAGTCTAAATCTACAATGTCTAATTTTCTACATTAAATTATGACACTCTACTTTTTGAACAAATCACACTGTGTGTGTGTGTGTACATATTCAGAAGGCACTAGCAAAAGAATGGATTGTGAAAGTCTAATCACACAGCCTTTAAAAGTGCAGTATATAATATTGACAGCTAGCGGTTGAAATGGGTACTGCAGTTCAAATTCAAACTATTGTTTCTCCCACCCCTTCCACCTCAGACACACGCTCATGCAGGTTGCCAGATTGAGGACACGCAACAGGAATGCGCGCAATTGACAATTCACAGTTTTCACGTGACGTCACACCCTTACAGGAACGCCCACATGAAGGGCAATACAAGGATTTCCTCCACTGACCACCAGCTATTTTTGGTTTGCATTAAGTAGTAATGTAGTAAAACTGATATTTAAAGGCCAAATTCAGTATACACTTTATTGATGATGCATACTTTGTACAGGCAAGCAGATAAACCCAGAATACAAACACAATGCGCAAATTTTAGTATTAAATGTTTTCCCATAGAAAACCATTATAAAGAAAACACTTAACCATTTAGCGCATTGCGTTCATATTCCGAGCTCATCTGCTTGCCTGTATAAAGCATGTATCATCAATAAGGTATGTACTGAATTTTATCTTTTAAAATCACCGTTTTAAAGGCACTTTAAGTGTTTTCACATTAAACGTACTGCTGTTTTTAGTGATTAAAATATTGCGCTTTATATGGATTGCTAATGGCCAAAACTTGCATTTTGTTCACATATCTTTGTTTTATTCTTTTCAGAGGTGATCTAAATATTTTTGGATTGGAACAACAGATAGAAAATTGACAGGCTTGTGCTGCAGTTCTATGGATGTTTTGCCCACCAGGTCTTCGAACCAGTCACATGGCCTTATACACACTGTTGAACAGTTGATTTATCTCGTTGATTTATATTTTAATATTTCTCTTGCCATAACACGTTTAGGAATGGATGCCAAAGCTTTTTAGGTCAGGTAGAATCTCCTATATCCGACCCAGTTTCTTTCAAATACATTCGAATGGTATGACAATTAGAGATTAAATCTACAGATAACGCTGATACACACTAAATACATGTAGTCACGCAATGTTGATGTTGTTAACATTAACGATTTGAGAACAAAGTATAACAATAATTATAATTTGAACGGTTTGAAGTGATCTGAGCTAACTCTGCGATCGTTAGATTTAATCAGCATTGGTAGCGCGATTTATTGTAAAACTTTATTTTCAGTTGGTCAGAACAAAACTGGAAGACATGTTACTTACTTGTTCAAATTACATTTTTGTGTGAAAGTTCTTATTCTGGACATACTTCCAAGACGTAGTATCTGTACAGGGCCATCCTTAAGGGGGTGCAACTGTGCTTGAGGGGGCCCCGCGGCGAACGGACTGAGGGGGGCCCCGCTCCCTACCTTGCCAATATATATCTTGTCAATATCTTATGAATATGAATAACATATCTCCCAACACTACACCCAACCAAATAACTTTTTTTGTATTATACTCATAGGTATATACTTATACCTTGGCAAAATAGCACACAACATTTTTGTGTGTATAGATAAATACAAGCAGAGAGGTGTGATTATGATGAATAGCATCATAATATGACAATCACCATCCAGCAGCATGAACATAATTTCTGTGAGTCAGAGTTGAAATATGTTGCCAGCTCTGCAAATAGATGCTTTTCCTGCGGCTCACTACAAGTGCCCCAGACGGCAGCGCCATCAATGAGGACACTCAAGGGTTGTTCCCTAGAAGCCTGGAAGTGTATGTTTTCATGAAAGCCACTTTTTCCCAGACACAGCAGAAAGTGTAAGTATTGTCCTGCCCTGTTCAAAACACTCTTTGTGTCGACAATCAAGGTACGGTCATTCGAGCTTTGAAGATAAAGGAGTCTGACATGGGAAAGGGGTTTGACTGTTGCGCCATCAGGAGTGACTGTGAACTTACTTTTCTCTTTTTTCTCCTAAGGTCAACACTTCCTGTGCAATTTGCTTTGCAGCCACAGACATCAAAACACAGCTATGTCCTCAAACGTACTGCATATCATTTTGAGTAACTGTTATTTTCCTGCGAATTATTAATATTGTGCATTGTATCAAGAGCTGAAGACAGCAGACAAGTTTTGATGTGTCTCTGCTAAATTGCCTATTATAGACAGCTAGCACTTATTCAGCTGTGATGTGTGTTCATGTTTAAGAGGTTGTGAGGAGATTACTAATGAGAAGGAGATCCCTGTAAACTTCATTAGGATGACTTTGACACGCTTGAACATGTCATAGTTGCTTTAGGGTGATCATTACCATCAATCTCCATACGTGAAGGGAAAAAAATTCACATGACCTTAAACTCCTCACATTTAATTATACTCACACACACTCATGGGACATATTTATTAGCTGTATATGAATGCATTCTAATATCAAGTGAGAAGAACCATATGGGTCTAATAAGCACAATTTTATATAGTCATGTGAATCCCTGATCTGTACTTAAACATGCACCATTGCTAATAATTTATAATTGAGTGTTAATTTCAGTGTGCCTGTGCATGATAAATAATTACCATACTCACATATTCATTAACATACAGGTATGTGGTGAAAATAACAATTAATATCACAATTAAATGCATCCATCGTGATACTAAAATGGCAGTAAAAGGGGGAAGTGAGTATTTTTTTATAATATGATTCTTTATAAAATCAACAATTTGCTGTTTTTTTGCTTTACCACCTAAACCTTCCTATGAAAAACATGGCATGCTTTTTTTCTGTGATAATAAAGAAATGTAAAAGGATTTAGTAAAGTCTCTCACCTTTTTCTTATTGGTGGGACAGATGCAGAAGTTTGTGACTATGATGGTTGTCCCAGGCATCAGGTTGAGCTTGGTGTAGGTTGACCCATAATCACTGGATCTGCATGGAGAAAAGGAGCAAGAAAGAGAGAGAAAGGTCATCTCCTTAATATTATCACTCTGTTTAATTACTGAGTCACACATAGAAACATATGGCGGGATACAAGCATATCCATCTAGATTATTAGATTTAGAACCGAGAGGCTACAAAAACGTATAACCCACTGTGTATTGTTGTGTGAATTTCTGACACATAATATTTTTTGTAAAATAAATGGACATCTTTCTTACACTGGAATTGGTTTGAACTGTTTGGTTAAATGTTAAGATACTGTTCGTAAACATTCTCATGGCTTTTCAACTCCAAATCTGTGTTAAGATGTCATAAATATGAAAACATGACACTTGGCTTCGAAATATTCACAGCAAGCACAAAATAAATAAAAATTTTCAGAATGGCCTGTTTTTGGCCTCTGATTGCTAGTGATCTCATGCGCATGTTGACTGTTTTTGGACTGAACAAAACCAGTCAGCAAAAAATGAAACTTTTCATAAATCAGCCAAACAGCTGCACTGGCAAGAATGCTATTGCTAGTGTAGTTCTGACATTTACTAACTTATAATAAATGCTTCAAAACACCAGTTTTTGAACAGCCATTCTGAAATGTTTATGCCATTGTGTTTTGCAGAATGTAACAAAATAAGGCTACATCTACACTATTCTGGATAAATTGAAAAACACATTTTTCTCTACATTTTGGGCTTCCATTCACAATGAGATGGCATTTTTGTCAGAGCTTTTTGAAGAGATGCTCTCCCAAGTGGATAATTTGAAAATGCTGTATTCGCATTGTAATGTGGACTGTGAAAATGGAGGTATTTGAAAACAATGATGCATGTTTAGTCATTCAACGCATACTGTACCGATAGATATCTATGTTTTTACCATTATGCACCTGTTATGTGCTATTCACTTTCAAAGTGTTGCTAAAGATATATGTTACTTTGTACAATATTCATATAACATTGCTGCAAAGATGACACAATTTATTCACAAATTGCTGCTCTGCGGCAAAACATGAAGGCAATTGCGTTTTAGACCATACATGGAATGACGATTGAGTGCAACCTGGAAGCACCAGTAAGTGGTGAGACATTTTGCTAATAAAATGATCATGCCAGAAGAACAGTGTGTGAAATGTATTATGTCTGGTCTCTCTGTATCATCTCAGTGAGCTTTTATTATGTACACATGCACTGTAAGAAGATTTTAATGTTTTCTGATGTTTCGGTGTGGATGAGAAACTTTTGGAAAATGCTTTATCATGCTAATGTCGATGGAGAGACGGTGGACGGTGGACGGTGAAATGAAAATGCTGTTTTTAAATGTATCCGGATTAATACAGACATAGCCTTAAAGACTGCTATGATATGAAATGACAGAAAGAGACAAATAGATAAACACACTCAGACTATCAACCTTATAAAAAGAAATGAACAAGAATGTTCAATTTGATCCTGATCACAGCGGCATGTTAAAAATGTGAGCAGACTTTGGTGAGGACAGTGTCAAATCAGTTTTTAAGATGACAATGTTTCAAGTGTGGCAGCTAATGTGACGTAAACCAGCCAGAGACTGATGTCAGCTCACGGAGAAGCTATTTGAACTGCTGTAGATATAAGACATGACAAGACAGCATCACAGGTGTGGAAATATTTGCAGAAATCAACCAGGCAGAGAGCTGTGGCCTAACCCAGTCTGACACTGTCAGAAGCAATCATTCTCACACAACACAGTTACATGAAATGCACTTAAGAACAAGGTCAAGGTCACAGGGTTACGTTTAAAGTGACTATGTCACTTTCTTTTAACTCACTGTTAACATACTGTGAACATCTCAGTTAGGTTGAGAGAAAGCATATTGCTGCTGGCAGCCGATTTAGTGTGCAAAATGTCAGATCAAAAACTATTTCTCAACACAAACATACAGCGCTAAAGACTCCCCCCATAGAACTAATTAAAAACCAGAAGTGAACAGAACTCTTCTCTGGAGCTCCTGCTGAGCTCACATTTTTGTTTCTGACTTGACAGAATGGAGCAGAACAGAGGTGTTTCAGCTCAAGAGGTTTAAATGAAAGCGGGAGGGAAGGCTGGGCAGGGTGGGGGAAGTGGGCTACCGCTGATCATTATGCCAGGCGTCATGTTTCCAACACATCACAGCAAGGTATCATGGCAGGATGAGGCTCTAGACGAAGATCTGAGGAACAACATCCTACAAACAGCCTTTTAAATTTAAACATAATGACAGTGAACATGACGGATTGTGTTTTTCAAAGTGGAAATTTTAAATGAAATATTAAATACTTAAATTTTTTTATTGTCAGTTTATTAGACAAAGCAGCATGTCAATAAGTGAATAAATGTGTGTTTTTGAAATGCTTGTTAATCCACCCACAATCAGTACATAATAAAAGGAAGAAAAAATAAAATAATAAAATAAAAATACTGAGATGTCATCATTTTACATAGTGTTTCCGCTTGTGTTTGTTATCAACCTTGTCCTATCCTAAAATTATTAATACAGTTTCCAAAATCACTCTAACATGAAAGATGGTAAAATCACAAGAAAGGCAGTCTTTTATTATACTGTTCAAAATGATTACTACCATGATGCTTGATTACTACCAAAACACCCTCATCTTAGCTAACAAAGCTTAGCTTACTAAAATACCAAAAAGCCATGATTATTTTTAAATCATAATTGAATACCTAATACATGCCATTCATTCAGAAGAGTCGAGCCTGTTAATTAGAATATGCAATCAGACAATGACGGCGTCTCCAAAGTGGAGTCAAACTCGGCAGAGGTCATCAGCGGAGTTGGTGGAGCGAGCACCAGAAACAGCCAACTCATTAAGTAAATCCTCTTGTGGAGAGTGAAATGTCAGAGGCCTCAGAGGAACATTATGTAACTAATAAAGCTAATTTGGAGGATTGTGTGGCACGCTGCGCTTCGGTTGCCAAACGTTTCACTAATGATGCTAACTTAATCGGATGGCTCATTTAATGCCATTGATTATCTGACAGGACTAATGCTGCTGGTGAAGGAGAAGTGTGGATGATAAAGAAACATGAAGGGAAGAAAAGGTGGAGAAGGAGAACAGGGACAATACGCTGCTTTGAACTTCAGGATTGTGAGGCACGCTGCGCTTCGGTTGCCAAACGTTTCACTAATGATGCTAACTTAATCGGATGGCTCATTTAATGCCATTGATTATCTGACAGGACTAATGCTGCTGGTGAAGGAGAAGTGTGGATGATAAAGAAACATGAAGGGAAGAAAAGGTGGAGAAGGAGAACAGGGACAATACGCTGCTTTGAACTTCAAAACAAATCTAATTGATTTCCAGATCAATGATTTAGACTTTTCCACATTAATGTATACACAAATATTTCAAAACTTTGGTCTAAGATGTTTTTTAATGTTTTTAAAAGAAGTCTCCTATGCTCCCCAAAGCAGCACTTATTTAATTAAAATTACAGTAAATCAGTAATATTGTGAAATATTATTACAATTTAAAATAAGTTTTTTATTTGGATATATTTTAAAGTGTCATTTATTCCTGTGATGGCGAAGTTGAATTTTCAGCAGCCATTATTCCTGTCTTAAGTGTCGCACAATCCTTCAGAAATCAGTGTTATTGACTGATTTAGTGCTCAAGAAACATTTCTTATTATAAATCCTAAAAACAGTTGTGCTGCTTAATAGTTTTTTATGGATACCACGATACATGTTATTATAGGATTCTTTGATGAACAGAAGGGTCAAAAGAACAGCATTTATCTGAAATACAGATCTTTTGTAACATTATAAAAGTCTTTAAAGTCACTTTTGATCAATTTAATGCTTCTTTGCTGAATAAAAGTACACATTTCTTTTATTAACAGAAAAAGAAAACAAGGTGCATTTCAAGACAATTGAAATATATTACGCATAAAATATCTTGCCATCATCAGCCAATCTACTGATAATGGTGTATCCTTCACAACCCTTGATGATGCATAAAGCTTGTATAAAGTCAAATTAGTTTTGAGGGAAATCTAAATCTCAGAATAAATCAAATTCTTGCCATGAGGGAAAGTGAACTGTTTCTAGGTTTGGAAATGAACAGAAAACATTGTGACTTCCTGTATTCATTTGGGATCATGAGTCATACTCCGTGCAGACATTCACTGTCACATTGAATCAGCCTGTGTATTTGGAGAGAAGCGCTGGAAGAAAACAGTAAGATCGAAAAATGTACAAACGCATCTACGCTTAGAAGAACGTGCATGTTATTTTTCAAAGCCTTGTACATGTCCTTGTCATGGACTGTTCTTTTTTGCTTGTTGATGGATCTCTACTGAAAATAACCCACACTTTGACAGGCATACTTGATTTCTGTGCTTGTGTAAAATCCTTCAGACCACCACTAGAGACACAGCGGGAGGACAGCATTAGCGTCAAACATAATTTACGTGAAGTGGTGTCATAAATATTCTCTGACAGGTCTTCCAAAAACTAGACATTTGCCATGACCGGCACCTTTAATAGACTCCCTGCAATTTAAACAGGCAATTAGTCTTGTCCTGGTGATCTGACAATGGCGTGCTCTTTGTTATTTGTACTACTAAAATGAACTTTAGCTAAGCTTGCAGTTGAACTTGCAGTTAAGAAAGAAATGTTTTTTTTTCTTCTTTTATTGCTTCCTCCTTGTTTCCTTCATCATTGTAAAGTCACTGGACATGTTCACCTCCTCCAGAGATCTGCTACTAACATGAAATGTCACATTTGAAAATGTTTGGTTGCCATTCACTGCACGAGATATGATGAAAACAAAGACATCCAGTAAAATAATTCTGATGGTTAACTGAAGCAACATTAAACTATTGAGTTATTTTTATGGTTTTAGTCAAGTTGTCATGTATGTATATCTTGATTCAATATTCCAAACTAAATCAATTTCATTTGTATTTTTGATCACTCTTCAGCATCATTCATCAACTGCGGCCACATATAC